TTGCCCTCTTTGTATTCTCTTTTGTTTTGATGGTCCTTATGATTATGCTTATCTTGCTAGCAAAAAGGCTTTACAATAAAACAATTTTTGCAAACTAATAATCACTTGTATGAAAACATGCATGGGATCTTAAATTTAGTACTATAATAGAACTCTTCGTGGTTGGCTGTTCTAAGATCGCTGCAGAGATCAGCTGTGTCCTATGGGATTATGATACCTCACATTAAATAAAAATTCCTATATAATTTTCTGGAATTTCTATCTAATGCTCAAGACTCTTAATTCCACAGAACACACGTGATCCTTCTCTAACCTTTACAAAGTGAATTATAGTTTGTTCAATTACAAATCGCTTAGCGTATGGCTTAAAGGCATTTTTCAACTCCCGAAGCGTAATGAGTTGCATAGCCATTGAAATTTTAATGTTTTAATTTCCTTTATACAAATTATAACATTGCAGTTTTGTGATACAGCCTGTAGATAACGTATTTAACAATTATTTAACAATGGGGCTACTGCAGTGCTGCGGACACCTTGAACGCTGACCCAAACCCTACCCTTATAATCCTAAGCAAACCCCACGCTCCCCATACAAGCGCTTCAACTGTTAAACTGTAGTCTTGCCAGCAATTGTTTAAATTATACTAACTCTATGAGTTTTCCTCCTATATGAAATATACGAGAATAAGAAGTAGCACCAAATACACATTACATAACAATGCTAATTATAAAGCATTTTAAGGGAAAAAAAGACTTCATAAATTGACCTATTGTGATTATTTCAAAACCAATGGGTTCATAAAATTGCAAGCTACCGTTCATATATTTAACCAGGTATTAACATGAAAGCTTTTCCCGAAATGGAATGTGTATCTTGACCAGGAAAAGAATTTAGGCACCAGCAGGATTAGAATCGTGGTCATGAAGGTGTTCCTTTTGATAAGCCCGGTATACCGTTGCGAAGTGTAAATAAGAATTGCGAAATGCAATTAACAACACACCTAGAAACTACCCAATCAGAAGACAACACCGGAACTGGCCAATCAGAAGACAACATACCGGAACTGACCAATCAGAAGATATTAGTTTAAGCAACTTGTGACATATTTTAAAACTAACTCAACCTGAGAACGTGCCATACGACTCTGTACAACAAAAGGTACAGAAAGAAAGGATAAAAGAAATCAAAACCTTGTTTCTGTGAAATACACCTTGAGTTTATTATTGAAAAATTTTCATTGAGGTAAATGTGTGTGATAAATGTTGGTTTTAACAGAGTATCTTTTCTATTGAAGTGGTAAATGAAAACGACACTGTGATCTTTATTCATGTAAAGTATGAGACCTTAGATTTAGAAACTAATTTTCGTTCCATTCTCGATTTTAGACATGAATATTTCTCTGTTAAAGACAAAATCGTCATCAAGGTTGAAAAACATCGATGTTTGTGGTTTATATTCACCACGATGATGGACTTGCATGACTGTAAAGAAAGTGATGCATAAAAATTAAATAAACATTTTCATAGCAGTTTTCTCCCTTCATTTCAAAAAATAGTTTCACTAAGAGGTTTTAAAAAGTTTTTCATTTTAACTAAAAAAGGATTTGTGTTCTGGAGCTCATTATTAAAATTTGTGTATGAATTAGAAAACGTGAAGTTGTATCAGCGGTTATTAGCCTGTTATTGATAGCATGCCTTTTTACTCGATTTATCTCTCGAACCCTTGTGAATATACTGCTTTGGTAGTTACGTATGCTTTGCCGCGGACGTTGCCTTGCAGAAGGATAGATAGGATCATGTAGCTTAGATCGGAAATGCGACGTTTGGCCAAAGAATGGCAACTTCTACTTGGGATTAGTGGGTTCAAATGGTACCTTAGCGTAGAGGATGCAAATAGCATCTGTAAGAAGACCCTAGAAGACCGGATCTAGCGAGCAAGCAATTGGAAGACAAAGAAAAGATGGTTGTTCTGTGTAAAGAAAAATATATCTTCCCTAGTACGGTAAAGCATGCAGTCCTGGTAGTTAGCAATTTCATGAACTGCTTTCAGGGACTATTAAGGCACCCTGGATCCCCTATAATGCATGAGTAGTTCAACCCACCCGGTTGGAGGTCACCCGTAGGTGCTACATGCATTTAGGTTGTTACGTTGGCATGATGGGTTACCTCCAGGCACTTCTTTCAGGGCGGAATTTCGGTGTCGGCACGTTGAGGGATCGGCATGCCGGGTTGCCACGCGAGTAGTTGCTATGCTCAGATAACAGCAAAGTGTAGTTAGTACCTTTATTAATTTAAAGGACAAACACCAGTTTAGAGAGAAATTACTAAATAAAATGTTTGGAAACTTCCAATTCTTCTATATAAGATTTTCATCATTTCTTTAAAACGAAAATGAAGTTTGTTTTGTCATTTGCAGAGCAATTGTAAATGTAAAAAGTATGTTGTCTTCTTTTAAAGAGGACTTTCCTTTGGAATTTCAATACTTTTGCCACAAAACGAGCAAAAGTAAATGATTATTACACCAGGTAATGGTATGCGAAATGCCTTCATAAAGAACCTAAAAGCAAACATATGGATATGGATTAGATGTTAAAAAGCACACGTTTTACGAAATTTTATCAAAAAACATTTTCTCGGTCAAAGTAGAAAATTGTCTAGATCAATGATAGATTTGTGTGTCGGTAAACTGTGGCGAATTCTGTGTTCATTAAAATGGAAAAAAAATGATATATACCTTCAAGACCATATTTTCATCATTAAAAGTGCATTTTAATTCTTTTACTTTTTGGCTCTTTGAATCACTTCAAAGGTATGTAAAGTTTATTGTTTGTAAGGGTTCCCCGGGGCGGGAATTTCGGCTAAAATCCTAGTGGCTTTTCCTGTTCAGTATTCTCCAAGATATTGTGACTTTGTGTTCAGTCTTGGTTTATACCGTTCAGGTTTTTCCATTAGGGATTTTTACTTTAAAGTCTAAAAAACAGTGACTTTGGTAAGGGACTATAGGGTACTTCATGTTATATACAATCATCAAAACTAAAGACAGAATTCATTTTGTAAAAGACGTTTTTAGAGAACGTGCTCCCGATAAAGTTGACATCAACATGAACCATTTTTAACCGTCTGACAATATTTGGAAGATAAAATTTCTGAATTATTTAATAAATCTATGATCTGTTTAATTTATTCTAAGCTGCTATAATTTACCCAAAATGTCGCCCATCTTTTTTGAGCCACATAGTGATGTTGGAATTGCTGCCGTAAAAACTGATGATTTCAAAAATTCTTAATTTTTTGCATGTTTGGACCCAAATGTTTCTTTAATTTCAAAAAATTTTCCATTGATACTACATCGTTTGAATTGTTTTTTTTTCACGCCCTATCTTTGGTGAGAATATGGTAATTGGTCATATAAACTTTAATGACTTCCGTGTTTGGATGGCCCAATATTATTTTAATAGATGGCCTGATTCTAATACGTGGGAGTTTTTGTATTTATGAAATTTTACGAATGAAAATGTTTTAAGCCCGAAATTTACAATAGCTTACGGATATATTTTGCCTCAGGAATAGACAAAGTTGAAACAGATGTCAAATAAGTGCTGAAACGCCCTCCTTAAACCTTAGGCATAAAGTTATTCTTTCAATTTACCATCCACTATATGTTCTTGAAGTTGTCGAAAAAGTTATACGTCAGTATTCTAGAAACTCACAAAAACTCTAACCCTCAATGTGTGCAACACAAAAGTCTTGATCTTACTAGTCAATGCAAACTCATTTCATCATCAATCAGTGGTATAAAATTTTTGGTGAAATATTTCAAATCAATCAATCAGTGGAGTGAATACAAGGTCTTCCAGCAGTTATAAGATTATTTTGAAACTTTATTCAATGAATGTGGTGTGAGAAAGTTTTAGAATACAGGTGATACAAAGAGCGGTAGTTAATCTTACCTGTATACTCAATATTCATTTAATAAATCTTAAATATAAAGTATTTGCATGTTAGTTGCATGGATGCAGATACGAAATAATTGTTAGGATTACAGAATATGAAATAAAGAAAATATCATAGAAAATAATGAGAACTATGAATATTTTCTATAAAACTAATTAAAATATTAAAGAATCCATTAGAAGAAATGCTGCTGATTGCATGAAAATGTTATTTAATTCAAATGTTTTATATTGATTAGCTACGTAATTGATAGAGATAGTAAAACAAAAAAGCACTCCTAAATTCTACCTGTGGAGTTGCTCAACAAACGATGGTTAGGTTTACAGCATGAGCAACTCCCAAGAGCCCATGACATTCAAGACCAGACTTTCAAGCTGCGTGCTATACCGGATTCACTCTTCATTTGCTGTAAAGGCTTCATTTGCTTTTTAATTGCCTTTATTCAGTGTCTTCAGATAATTAATGTTTATTAAATTCAGAGCTTAAGTCCATTTAATTGTAATTCTGGCATTAACCATTATCACTTCGTTTTAATACTTTAATAAACGGGACCTTGGAAATATTGTAACTCCAGAAATACCATTTAGTATCGTATAAGAGTTTTGATGTGTATTTTATAAAGTTGACTTTAAATGTCATATGTCTTCGACAAAAGCAATTGAGAATAAAATTTAAATAACCAGGTTTTGTATCATTCAATAATGTAAGCTAGATGCAGAAATGTGATTATGCATCATCCAAATACTTCGTGAAAAGTGTTTTGCTACTTTACATCTATAAAATAAAACCTTTAACTACCGTATCGTTGATTTCTTACTTGTTTTCCTATCAGTAAACTTTTCATTGTGGTTCGCTTTCATTAAAAACTGAAAAAGTTCTTAAGTTCTGGGTTGTTTTTCAATTCGTCATTACACCAGACAGCCGCACGTACCCGAACTGGATTTTTAAATGAACTCCTTAGGATCATCGACTTTATAAAATGGATGGTTTTAGTGCTGATCGCAATCAATCAATCTGTCAATAAAAGCCAACAATCAAAATAATGATATGCGTAAAAAATTTATTTGTCTTTTCCAATCTGAGTAAATTCTATTTTACACGGTATCTTTCCTGTTCACTTGCCTTTTCACAAACTGTTTTTACTGTTTAAAAACTGTTTATTTTTGATGTGATTTCTTTTCACCGAAATTGAATAAGTTCTTGAGATCTGGACTGTTTTTCAATTCTTCATCGGACCTCACAGTAGCATGCACTCGAACAGGGAGATTGGGGAATTTTTTGAGAATATACGCCTTGTGATCGCCAATCTTATAAAATGGTTCTAGTTGTGGTCTTGGCCGTGGTCGATCGTTCCAATGTTGGTTTATATTTCGAATAAGTCTTAAACATTCTGTCCATGAAGAGTCATATGTAAAAATCTTTCCAGTCACCACATCCGTCCTAAAATAATCATAAACATCACTGTCTATTTTACTTTTCCAATCTGAGGATTCACTATTCAATTGTTGAACGACACTACACAGGGGATCATTTGTCTTAATCTGCTGAATATTTCCAACTTTACATAATAAGTCAAATTTCTCGTCATCCGACATAAGAAATGGGTGTTTTAACGCCACGGTAGCCGATGGTCTGTCTTCAGGTTTTAGATTTAACATCCACGACAGAAGGTCCTTTAGTGTTGCATCCTCGATTTGATCCAAACCAACAGGCTTTCCATTCAACATGTTCATCAGTCTATACGGTTTAGTTCCAAACGGATGTTTTCCCTTTGTTGCAATATAATAAGTTACCATTCCTGCATTCTAAAAAGATTAACAATGTAATGTCACAACTTGAATGCATATATGCATGAAGTTAAAATGGTTATAATCTTATACTGTTTATAATAATGTAGTAGATTGTAAAACCCTCTCCCCCTCAGGGACCTTAGGTTTCTAGAACACCGCAGAGAGCGGGCTCAAAAAAAGAAAATCACGTGTACTTATTATATTTTAAGTGTTAAACGGACCACTATTAAATAGTTCACAAATCAAGAACCGTATTGCAACATACACTTACATATACATCAGACTCTTTCTTGTACCGTCCTTTATCAACAGAATCTTCCTTTTCACAATATGATTCTGGAGCTATCCAATACTCCGTTCCTGTGTTAGGACTGCTTTCATATGTCGTAGAATCATTATTCAATATTTGACTAATGCCAAAGTCAGCTATCAGAAAGTTGTCTTGTGAGTCTCGGAGAACATTGGTAGGCTTTAAGTCCCGATGAATAATGGGATTTTCGCCACTATGAAGATCAGCTAATCCTTGCAAAATTTGTCTGAGAATGTCGGGAAGAGCGTTTTGAAGATCTTCCAAAGTAGAAGATTTCACATAACTCTCCAACGATTCTTCACATAAGTCTAATATTAAATAGACATAATCCGTTCCAGTATCTTCTTCTAAGAAGGAATAATTCACAACATATTTTGATCTCTTTGCGTTGAATTGATTTAAAATTTCTTTTTCTTTCTGTGCAAGCTTCATGCAGTTGTCTCGAAGTATTCGTTTCACTGCTTTGCCGTAACCATCTTTCTCAGTCCAAGAAAACACGGGTCTCGTTACTTCCTTTTCCGATGCAAAAATCGTCCGAAAAAATCACACGTACATCGCTCACTTGTTTAACCTCGACACTGTCATCGCGTGAACGTTTAATCAGATTTGAAAACATTTCTTTATGCTTCTTCGATTTATCATTGTATTTCCACTCTTGTAACTTTGATTCTAAAAAAATTTGATAAAAGAATGAAATTTATGCATGGGTAAGAGAAAGGCATATTAATACCGCATATTTTTAAAATCTTTATCAATAACTATTTATAATAGACATATCATGAATTTCTTAATTGTGCAATCAAATCTGGTGACATTAAGGTTAGCTTATACCAAAAAATTAATTACAAAAATTTTTTTTTGCAAATATTTTGGTGATTTTTGTCGAAGAATAACCTTATATTATTCGAACATATTAAGTTAAAATTTTGAGAGCATGTTTTTTACATTCGTCTTTTAGGGTGTGAATGCATGATCCGGTAGCCGAGATTGAACAAAGCTTTAAATGACTTTGGCAAATCGAAATGATTAAATACTCATCAACAGATAAATCTTCTGTACATGTTTTGTAGATAAGTGTCTTAATAATAATATCAATAAGTATGAGTAAAACTTATCTCCTCTGTCTGAGTACAACCGCGAGTCTTTATTCTTGAGCGTTCGTGAGTCCAACAATGACTCACAATAGTTTTCCAAATAGATTGAAGGCACAGAAGCCAAAAGATAGTTATGGCACAGAAGCCAAGATAGTTGTCTGGTAGATTGTAGCTTTTCAACCTACTTCGGTAGGCTATGCCTCCTAAGTTTGTCTCCTCGTAGCTTGTGCTCGTAGGTTGTCCTCGTAAATTGTCCTCGAAGGTTGTACTCAGTGGTCTAAACTACTCATATATATATAATATCTAATGGGAAGTATTGTGGTTTTGTGACCTACATCCCATACGCAATACAGTATGTTACAGTAAGATGTAGCTAACCAGAATAACAACAAATGCGGTGGCGGTTCTAAAGTATGTTTACGCATGTAAGCAAACTTCTAGCGCATGCAAGCAAGCTTCTACATTATGTCCTAATTAGTAATATATGAAATTAGAATATGATATAATAATGATATTACATGATAGTAGTTGCTATCATGTAACACTAGGTTGGTATAGTCCTGAGAAGTACTGTTTTTGTTGTTGTTGACTGACGTTTCGACAAACTTAGCGGTAGTCATCTTCAGAGTCAAATGAGGAGTAAACGTCAGGTTAGCCGTATTTATTGTCTGGTTCTTACGTCATTGTATTGTGTGTACAGGAAATTTGCAGGAAATGTGTATTGTCATTGTGGATTAGTGTGAAGTGAAATATTTTATTTTTAGTTGTGATGTGTGATTTAGGTGTGACGTTTTTAGTTGTAATGTGTGGTGTCAATTGTGTATTGTCATTGTGAATTAGTTTGAAGTGTAATGTTTTTAGTTGATCGTTTGTTTGTATTGTGAATAAGTCGTTTGTAAGGTGCCGGTAATTGCTGTGATCAGTTCAGGGGGGTTTGTTCCATGTTGGTATACCAACTTTCTAATGTAAGCCGTTGTCTATAGTCAGTACTGTAAGTGATGCATTTTGCCGAGTCCCAGTCAATGTTGTGCTTTGTGATTCGGTGATGTTCGGCAATGTGATTAGTTTTGTCTTGTTTCTTAGTAGCTCGTTTGTGCCCAGTAAGTCTTATGTTTAAGTTCCTGCCAGTTTCCCCGATATAGGAGGCGTGGCAGTCGGAGCAGTTTATTTTGTAAACTGCACCTTGTCGTTCGTTGGTTGTTCTTTGTCCTTTATGTTCGTTAGTACTTGTCATAATGTTGTGATTGGTTTATGTGAGACACGTATGTTGTATGGTCGTAAGATACGCGAGATAGTCTCAGACGTACCTTTGATGTAAGGTATCGTTGCTGTTGTCACTGAGTTGTTCGTTTCGTTGGGTTCGTTGGGTTTGTAAGTGTTGCGTTTGATAAAGTCAGAGTTATAGTTGTTTTGTCAAAACACGTTTGAGATAGTTGTTTTCGTTTTGTAGAGCGTCCGGTGAATCACATATGATTTGTGCACGTCTTGTTAATGTTCTGATTGTGGTGGCTTTGTGTGATGTAGGGTTGTAAGATGATTGGTCTAGTAGTCGGTCAGTATGTGTTGGCTTGCGATAAACTGTTGTTCCTAGTTTTGATTGTCATGTTTTACCAAACAGTCGAGGAAAGGAAGAGTTCCGTTTTCTTCGACATCTTTGGTAAATTGTATGTGGCTGTTCTGTTTGTTGATGTGAGTATGGAAGTCATCAATCTCGTCTGCATGTAGTGCTGTGATTATGTCATCTACGTAGCGAAACCAAAAAGGTAGTGCATGTTTGTAAGTCATGAGTGCCCGTTCCTCTATAGATTGCATTACAATTTCAGCAACTACAACAGAAACATCACCGAATCACAAAGCACAACATTGACTGGGACTCGGTTGCACAACACTAACACTAGGTTGGTATAGTCCTGAGAAGTACTGTTTTGTTGTTGTTGACTGACGTTTCGACAAACTTAGCGGTAGTCATCTTCAGAGTCAAATGAGTAGTAAACGTCAGGTTAACCGTATTTGTTATCTGGTTCTTACGTCATTGTATTGTGTGTACAGGAAATGTGTATTGTCATTGTGAATTAAGGCTCTTACAGACGAGCAAATTTTCTATGACAAAACTCTATGTTACAAGTTTTATACGCCCGTCTGTACGCGTCACTTTGCCATATTTTTCTGTGACAAATGCATTTGTCATAGAAAAATGGGCCAAATGACGAACTTTGTTCGTCTGTACGGCCAACAAAGAAAATATAACAAATGACGTGCCAGTGATGAACCTAGTCAGCGGAATTTTCAGCGTACTCAGTGTTGTGGCCACAAAGATCTGTCTTAGCGGCCAACATGGCGGCAGCCAACAACGTGCGTTGGACTGATGCAGCCACAAGTCACCTCCTTGAGTTACTTAGAACAAGGGAGAGTTTGTGGAATTTAAAATCAGAATGCTACAAAGACAGAAATAAGAAGAAAAAAGACTATCAAGAGATCCTGAACATGAAAGAGGAAGTCCCTGGTATCGATCTTTCTTACATCAAGGTGGGTACATAACGTTTACACAGTAATTGTATCAGCGATGTCACCATGAGTCTGTTGGACTGTGCTTCGTTGTGTAGTTCAAAACAGTTACTACGGCATTCTAACTTATTGGCATCGTTGAACAGCCGACGATTGTTTACTTTGACTATCGCTGATTTTCCCGCGTATTCTCTTTGATATATGCTGTGCTATTATATCGCAGGCCAACATTTGTCACACAAAATTTGTTGATGGGTACAGACGGTCAAAGAAAATATGCCACATGAAAAACTTGCCATAGAAAATTTGCTGCACGTACACATGGACATTTGCCACAAAAAAATGGTAACATAGAGTTTTGTCATAGAAAATTTGTTCGTCTGTAAGAGCCTTTAGTGTGAAGTGATATATTTTATTTTAGTTGTGATGTGTGATTTTGGTGTGATGTTTTTAGTTGTAATGTGGGTGTCAATTGTGAATTGTCATTGTGAATTAGTGTAAAGTGTAATGTTTTTAGTTGATCTTTGTTTGTATTGTGAATAAGTCGTTTGTAAGGTGCCGGTAATTGTTGTGATCTGTTCAGGGGGGTTTGTTCCATGTTGGTATACCAACTTTCTAATGTAAGCCGTTGTCTATAGTCAGTACTGTAAGCAATGCATTTTGCCGAGTCCCAGTCAATGTTGTGCTTTGTGATTCGGTGACGTTCGGCAATGTGATTAGTTTTGTCTTGTTTCTTCGTAGCTCGTTTGTGTTCAGTAAGTCTGATGTTTAAGTTCCCGCCAGTTTCCCCGATAGGAGGCGTGGCAGTCGGAGCAGTTTATTTTGAAACTGGGTTGTTCTTTGTCCTTTATGTTCGTTAGTACTTGTCGGTTTGTGATTGGTTTATGTGCACGTATGTTGTATTCTTAAGATACGCAAGATAGTTAGACGTACCTTTGATGTAAGGTATCGTTGATGTTGTCACTGAGTTGTTCGTTCTCGTTTGATTCGTTAGATTAGTGTTGCGGTTGCGATAGAGGGTGAATAGTTGTTTTGTCAAAACACGTTTGAGATAGTTGCGTATCTTACGACCATACAACATACGGCAAACCAATCACAACGTTACGACAATCAGGGAACATACCACAACAGAAAAACCTCAGGAACATACCACAACAGACAAAACTCTCAGGGAACCAGAATCAAGGAACATACCACAAACAAAAACTCTCATATCAACTGACACCTTCTTAAATCTCACCCTATAAACCAACTATTCACCCTCTTGTTCCAAATCATCGACACTGCCGACACCTCATTTTTCCTTAAAATCAAAGAAGCACTCCACATCAACAAACTAACCCCTGACCTCAATGTTCAAGTTTTAAATTCAATACAATATTTAGTTTATAATACGCTCGGACGCTCCTCTTAATTTATCTTATCTCCTTTTATTGTTGTAATTTATGTATATTACTTTTATAAAACCCTGTATCACCTATTATTTCACCCATACTGAAGATGGCATCATGAGATGTCGAAACATGTCTATTTTCAAAAACGTTGTCGCTTATATTAAATGTGTATTAACAAAACAGTCTTTTCAGGATCTACCAACCTGGACGATCGACATTTACAAACATGTAACGATACTCCTGGTTCAAAACCATTTACTTTAGATAAATCTTCTAGAGCATTTTCATAACATTCTCATTTAACTAATTTAATAATCATTTAAAATTTAAAATGAAAACAACCAAATTGGCTAATTGGAAATGTTAACGAGAACGACTTGTGGCGTTTAACAGACATAAAATGATTTCGAGG